GTGCCCCCTCCAGACAAGGTACTTAGCCGGAAGTGCGAAAGACTAGTGCTTGAATCAAGATAGATTCCTGGTATTGATTAAAATAATAGGCAAGTTTTATTTAATGGTAAAACTATAATCATTTATACTCTTGTACCAACCCTTGCAAAATAGGTAAAAATTTTGACAGCCCCTTTGCTGTTTTGCAGCTTTGCCTCTTACTCATGTGCTTTTACCAAAACCTTAACTTGAGAAAGCAGGAATTCTGTAGTAAAATTTATAATTGAGAAATTTTCACTAATGTATTGTGGACTGAGTGACCACAGTTTAGATATTACTTGTGCCTATAATACTGTACTGTCTTGTTACTTTTTAAAATAGGCATAATTGCAAATTATTTATACGTGATGACATACTAAATATGTCATCACATTAACTTCATTCTTAAGATACTTTCCGAGATCTGAGTGACTGTGTGAACTGAGGAACCGCACTTTTCAAAGATTGGTTCTACATTTGTTTTAGGCCTACTACTAAATCCTAAGCAATTAATTTCACGAATTCCCGACATAGTCCCTCGGTGCTCGTATACACTGGAGACTGGGGGTACTTTCTCGTTCACCTATGTACCTACATCTACTCTCCAACTATTGTCATAGGAGGACTAGAGACGCGACTAGTAGAGACTTGGGAAAATTGTTGTAACAGTGCTATACGAAAGCGTTATTAAGCGTCGCGCAATTACAAGTAATAACAAGTTTATATAAATACTACAAAATGCTCTGGGATACCATTTATTACACCGACAATGACATACACATAGCAACACCAAAATTATACTATTCTTCCTCCAATCCTTCGCACTCCGCTTCCTCATCAAACTCGCCTTCATCGTCTGCCGTAGCGTCCTGGTATTGCTGGTACTCTGATATCAAATCGTTCATATTACTTTCTGCTTCTGTGAACTCCATCTCATCCATACCTTCGCCAGTGTACCAATGAAGGAAAGCTTTCCGCCTAAACATAGCTACAAATTGTTCCCCCACTCTCTTGAATATGCTCTGTATAGCCGTGGTATTTCCTATGAATGTAGACGCCATTTTCAACCCTCGAGGAGGTATATCACATACTGCAATCTTTACGTTGTTCGGGATCCATTCGACAAAGTACGTGCTGTTTTTATTCTGTATATTCAACAACTGTTCGTCAACTTCTTTCATCGACATTCGCCCTCGAAATATCGTGGCCACAGTCAAGTACCGGCCGTGTCGAGGGTCGCAAGCGACCATCATGTTCTTGGCGTCGAACATCTGTAAGGTTAACTCGGGGACGGTCAGAGCTCTATATTGCTGGGCGCCTCTTGAGGTAAGCGGCGCGAATCCGGGCGTGTAGAAATGGAGGCGTGGGAATGGCACCATATTCACTGCCAGTTTACGTAGATCTGCGTTCAATTGCCCGGGGAAACGCAGGCATGTCGTGATACCAGACATCGTCGCGCAGATCAAATGATTTAGGTCGCCGTACGTAGGCGTGGTCAGTTTCAAAGTCCTAAAGCAAATATCGTATAGGGCCTCGTTGTCCAAGCAAAACGTGTGGTCGGTGTTTTCCACCAACTGGTTCACCGCCAATGTAGTGTTATACGGCTCTACAACACAGTCCGATACTCGTGCGCTGGGAAATACAGAAAATGACAGGATTATCCGATCGGGATATTCTTCACGTATTTTGTTGACTAGGAGTGTGCCGAGGCCGGACCCCGTGCCACCTCCAAGCGAATGTGACATTTGGAAGCCTTGTAAACAATCACAACCCTCAGCTTCTCGCCTAATGACGTCCAATGCGGATTCCAAAATCTCTACACCTTCGGTGTAAAACCCTCGGGCCCAATTGTTGGCGGCCCCGTTCTGGCCATACACAAAATTGTCCGGTCGGTACAGGCATCCGAAGGGGCCAGACCGTACCGCGTCCATGGTGGCAGGCTTGAGATCAACGAGCACTGTCCGTGGCACGTATTTACCACCCGATGCCTCATTATAGTAAACATTGATACGTTCTAGCTGAAGGTCGGAGTCACCGTGGTAGCAGCCGCTGGGATCGATGCCGTGCTCATCGGATATCACCTCCCAGAACTGAAACAAAAGAGTCAAGTGGTGGAGTGGCTTAGCAATTAAGTTGCGGCACTGAGGACCGCGGGTTCTAATTCCGCACAGAACAAGTATTTGTTTGACCTACAAATAATTGTTCCGGATAGTGTCCTTGTGAAATTTATGTATGTAAACTGCCTCAACCATACAAGAGAAAATTCAAATTAAAAAAAATCTTAATTATTTCTTTGCTTCCGGGAGATTTGCTTTAATCGTCACTTTTGGCAGGCAAATTGACCTTCACTGTACCAGACGTCTACATACCTTAGACGGCACTCCCGTCTCTGGTCTGAATGTTTTTCTTGCGTTATATCGCTAGCTATGGGATACAATGAAATCTGACTTCTCCCATATTCTCCTTTTTTGACAGCTACGGAAGGAAATAGTGTGACGGAATCTCTTACACCACCATCACACGGTCACCGTTACCATTTCAGTCTAAAAAGTTATTACTGAACATAAGCCATACAGATAGCATCGTGATAAGTACCATAGTTGCCACGCTTGACGTACGGCTAAATATACAGTTGCTACGTTTGACATGTTTGATGACTGCACGCTTAGCGGGTAATGATTACTTTTAATAGTGATTAAAATTCATGGTTTTAACTCACCTTTCCTCCAATCTGATTCCCGCATGCGCCAACTTGAAGATTGATGATCTCTCGCATCTTGATAATTTACTCGCTCCTTGAATTCAGGTACTTGTAAATTTTCTCAAAAAGTTATCGAAATAATTTTATCGAGTTGAAGCTTAACATTAACTTAAGACTAATAAAAAAAATATAAAAAGTCTAGAGCAACTTCACACTGTGCGCATCTTACGTCGGATTTCAGAAGAATGAAATTCAATGCCGATCGTCATTAATCAAGAATTTCGAATTTAAAATTCTAGAAGTATTTTACTTTTTTGTACCTTTTTCCCATCATAGAGGATCGTATAGATGTAAGGGCTTATACACACGAGCTTATTTCAGCGGGATTCTTAAGTTCGCCTAGGCGTGTTTTAAGGGTGCAAGCGATTCGCGCCAAAAACTTCATGTTTTAGGGTTTTGGACACTCACTTGCAGTTGCCGCATTAAATAATTATTAAATAATTAATTTAAATTAAAGCATAAATTTATTTACATGAATACAGAAAACTAAATCATAAGAGAGAATAGGTAAGCAGTAAGTATCACACAGAGAGAACATTATCGTATACGTCAATATTACGCGGTTCTAGGGCAATCATGTGGATTTTTCTTGCGCATATTTGAAATTTTAATTCGCGCTCTTAAACATAACCACCGTTTAATTGCATGTTAAAAGTCTTTGGGAAGGTATGGATATCAGCTATGATATGAAATTAAATATTTACATTTATTACTTCGAAGCACAAAAATAAAATTTCTTTCGTCAAATGTCATTTTTAAACCTACAATTTTTGTTTACATTTTTCAAACCCCCGATTCGAAATGAGGAAGGAATGGAAAGGAAAATGAGCAAGTATTCTCTTATTTTTAATTTTTAAGATTAATATTCCATAACATGGTATACACAGAATGAAAAACGGATAAATTCTATGGCCAATAGACATCTACTTTATCCTCAATTAAGAATCAAAATGCAGATGCGTTGTCACCCCTGAGGAATGAGATGGAATGCCTTATTGTTAGTGAAACGGGTTCGCTACTCACCATACGAAACACAGCAGTATTAAGCTACTATTTTGCGCTGGTATACTGTGAGAGCGTGGTCCTACCTCGGAGCCGAACCATTCGTTCTGCTAACATAATATAGCTGCAGCGTGGCTCTGCCACGTAAAAATATTAAGTTTTTTTGAATAACGTAAAAATTTTAAAAAATAAAATTGCCCTTGCCGCAAGTGTGCGTGTAAATGCGAACAAAATAAAAAATTTAATGTTGGATTAAACAATATCTACTTTTAAGAAATAAACTGTGCAATATAAACGTTTTGTCTTCTTTGGAGTCAGATGATTTCAGAAATTATGTGCGCATGAATTCTGCACAATTTTTTCTTCTTTTAAAATAAGTGACACCAAATATTTAGCAACAAAACACACTATTTAGAGAAAGTGTAAGTGCAAAACAATAACTAGCTGTAACCCAAAGATTTTTAGCAATGGGAAATGCATATCATGGCCTCAAATTCAGTTCATTAATATCTGAACCACTTTTGACACAAATGATACCTGAAACATGCTGGGCTATCTATAAAAGTCTTAAACAATATACAGGCTGTCCTGTTAATAGTAGTCCAAACGAAATGTGACGAGAGATGAGATCGTGCCTTATGAGAACAGCCAAAAAAATTTTGTAAAACTGTTACAGCTTTCAAGATTGTTTGATTTTCATGATTTTATCGAAAAGTTGTCAACTTGATACGTATAATTCTATTGCTATTTCAATAAGCTAATCGTATCGTGGCTCTAAAATGAATGCGTGGAGTGCCTACCGGCGCACGTCGGAATTTTTTGATGATTTTATCGAAAAGTTGTCAACTTGATACGTATAATTCTATTGCAATTTCAATAAGCTAATCGTATCGTGGCTCTAAAATGTATGCGTGGAGTGTCATCCGGCGCGCGTCGGAATTTTTTCACAGAAAATTTCTTGTTCTTTTATAATGTGTGGCTGGCCTTATAGTTCAACTCTGGCCAGCTAGTTTCGTATTTTTCAAAATTAAATATTGATCATATTTTTTCCGTCAACAACAAAAGAATGTTTTCACGTCATTATTAAATAAAATTTTGTGTAGCATGAACGTGTTTTGATCGATTTTTTTTTTACTCTTAATAATTGTTTTTTAATGATTTTTGCTCGGTATTAAAATTATATCTTAAATAAATTTTAGACGCAAAATTACAAGTGAACATGAGGGAAATCGTTCATATTCAGGCTGGACAATGCGGCAACCAAATCGGCGCCAAGGTGAGCTTTTAATGTTACAAAATGTAACACTAGTTTTCAGGTTTATAATCATAAAGGTATATAAGTAACTTCACGCTAATCAGTAGGGTATACCGCGTGCGGGTGAAATTGTCACTAAAAGGAAAACTTGGTTTAGGCCTCTTTTTCATTATATCATAATAATATGATAATATAAAAAAAACTATAACAGTTAAGTTTATTTATATATCAAACGAACAAACTAAACCGTCATAGTTTTATATTTCTAAGTCATATTCATTTCTAACATGTATTACAAAGAACAATGGCTAGAGTAACATGAGAGGTTGAAAGATTGTTGATATACCAAACAAAATAAGATTGAGGCGAAAATGTTATTGCATTAGAGCAAACAGTAGTTCAATTCCCGACGACAAAGAGGGATCAATACTGCCGCTATTTTTCTTGCTTGTATGATTTTTTCTTAATTAAAACACCGCTTCTTCTTACAGTTCTGGGAGGTCATCTCCGACGAGCACGGCATCGATCCAACAGGAGCATATCAGGGTGATTCTGATCTTCAACTGGAACGCATCAATGTGTATTATAATGAGGCGTCAGGAGGCAAGTACGTACCTCGAGCCGTCTTAGTAGACCTAGAGCCTGGTACCATGGACTCGGTGCGATCTGGTCCATTTGGTCAAATTTTCCGCCCTGACAACTTTGTATTCGGACAGTCTGGAGCTGGCAATAACTGGGCTAAAGGCCACTATACGGAAGGGGCTGAATTGGTTGACTCTGTTCTAGATGTTGTGAGGAAAGAAGCGGAAGGATGCGATTGTCTTCAAGGTTTCCAGCTAACGCACTCGTTAGGCGGAGGCACGGGGTCGGGAATGGGGACGTTACTTATTTCAAAAATAAGGGAGGAGTATCCCGACCGTATTATGAACACGTTTTCAGTTGTCCCAAGTCCAAAAGTATCGGATACAGTTGTTGAACCGTACAATGCTACATTATCGGTTCACCAACTAGTGGAGAATACGGACGAAACGTTTTGCATAGACAATGAGGCGTTGTATGACATTTGCTTCCGTACGTTGAAGCTGTCGACGCCGACATATGGTGATTTGAATCACTTGGTGTCCGCGACCATGTCAGGCGTGACCACATGCCTGCGGTTCCCGGGACAGTTGAACGCGGACTTGAGGAAGCTGGCGGTGAACATGGTGCCGTTCCCGCGTCTGCACTTTTTCATGCCGGGATTCGCACCACTGACGTCGCGAGGCAGCCAGCAGTACAGGGCGCTCAGTGTACCCGAACTCACGCAACAAATGTTTGACTCCAAGAACATGATGGCGGCGTGCGACCCGCGTCACGGCCGCTATCTCACAGTCGCCGCCATTTTCCGCGGCCGCATGTCCATGAAGGAAGTTGACGAACAGATGTTAAATATCCAAAATAAAAACAGCGTCTACTTTGTCGAATGGATACCCAATAACGTCAAGACTGCCGTTTGCGACATTCCGCCAAGGGGACTCAAGATGTCTGCCACATTTATAGGAAATACCACAGCAATTCAAGAGCTATTTAAGAGGATATCTGAGCAGTTCACCGCCATGTTTCGTAGGAAGGCTTTCCTTCATTGGTACACTGGTGAAGGTATGGACGAAATGGAGTTCACAGAAGCGGAGAGCAATATGAACGACCTGGTGTCGGAGTACCAACAGTACCAAGATGCAACGGCCGACGACGAGGGCGAGTTCGACGAGGAAGTTGAAGAATAAATATTGTAATCGTCCAATGTTTTGTACATTTCATGTTGTCTAGTGCTTAGTGTTAGGCGTAACCTGTTTGTTTTTGTTGTGTCGGAAAATATATAATACACAAACTGTTTTTTTTTAATTTGTTTTAAAGAGGTCTAGCAGTAGTGTCATAATCCAGTAAAACATTCCATTCACCGTCAGAACCGTTGCGTTAACTTAATATACTGCTTAATGCCACACCTCCAAAATGAGTTAAATAATTTAGGTATGTATTTCTTCTTTTTTGGGACTTCCTAATCTGTATTTTAATTCAGCCACAAATATAATGAAATCTAGGGGTGATTTACGCCCAAATTACTTATTTGCGTAACTAATGTATAAGGAAAACATATCTGATATGAATTACATTAATCGTATAAAGCGTCATTTAAAATGTGTTACCACATACACCAACTTTGAGGCTGCTATATTTGGCTTTAACCGACTGTTAACAAATTAAGCTAAACAAGTTTACAGACTCTAGAAAATGTCACCTGGGGCAAGTGTAACATAAATTAATTAAAACTATTATCGAAATTAAAATACTTCTACTCCGTAAAGATTTAATATAGATAATTCAGTTTCTTAACATCAATTATTGTTTGTATGTTTGATCAAGCATTTTAGTATCTACAAGTAGCATTTTATAATTTAAGGTAATTAAAACTGATTGTGGTGGAAGACTGTCACACTTACCCATCAATGGGCCAAGTGTGACAGTACGCTTCTTTTTGTATTCACTTTATTATTATCTGTGGTTTTCAACAAAATTGATATGATACTAATGTGGATATATTTTAGGGTAGGGAGGGGGAATGGCGTTCACTTAAGGAAAACATGGTGTATTTTTTAAATTATTTATTACAAATCAAAATGAAGAAAAGTAACAAAGTCTTTAATTATTGAGTAATCAACAATTTAACAACAAAAGCATGTATCTTTCACCTGCTAGTAGTAGGAAAACATTAGTAAAAAAACATGTTTGAGCGGCATTGCCCCAGACTTTGGGTAATGCCGCTCAGGGTACGGGGTAATGACGCTCAAACATATTTTCTGGAATACAACATGTGAGATACATTTTAATTAAAGAAATATTAATGAGATCAACCTTATACAATAAAAGTGTAGTCTACAATCACAAATTAGCATCAATCATCCCCATTTGTACGTAAGATTAGCCTTTTTCAATTTAACAAATATAGTAAAGTCTTAGATGTCAAATCAACTTCAATTATTATAATGTAATATAAAATAATAATTATTATTAGAGGTAAGAAAAATTAGAAATAGAAATATTTTATTTTTGGACACATAAATCACAGATGTATCCATCTGGCGAATCCCACTCTGAACATATAGCATGAGCCCACAGTCCGCAGATAGTGCAGCGATACCACAACTCGTTATTTTTTCCAAATTCTTCGCAAAAAATACATTTGTTATAATTTTCATCATCCACATTAATTTCGTCATTACTGTCATCGTCACAAAGGTGCTCTTCATCTTCACTCTCTGAAGAACTTTCTTGTAAAATTTTTCTCTTGTAAGATTTTTGTTTCATATGTTTGTTCTTCTTTTCTTTAACAACTTGTTTTAGTCTTGATTTATCATCTTTTCCAGTCTTATTGAGTTTCGCTATTTTTTTCTTTTCTTTATCCTCTAAAATAATTTTCATAGGAGTCGTAGTTAATATCGTAGCATGTTGTTTTCGCTTTCTTTGACCTGGCTTAGAAGATGGTGCAATAGTTGGTGTCGTAGCTATAGCAGCAAAAGATATCAGTTCTTTGCTCATCAACAAGTTCTTGGTTACAAGCAACTGCCAAAACAGATTCAGAGCATTGATCCTTATTTGATGGTCCTGCCAAAGGAGATATATGTCCTGAAGTTATGGCCATACCATTAGACTGCGCATTTTCAAAATTCTTGACATTTGGGTCTTGATTTTCAGCGATTTGTACCGATTCTTGTGCCATCAGCGACGCTGCCAGAAAATCTTGATCAGTGAAAACATTTGGGTCCAATGGGTAAATTCCCGTGGCTCGAAATCCAGATTCTGCTTTACTTATATTCGCAACTTGTACATATGCTTTATTGAAAAGACCTACAACATCGTAAGGAGTAGACATTAAATGTGTCTTCATGTACCTGTTGCATTCATGCCTATAAGTGGCTTTCAGCGGCCCATAAAAAGACACATCCAGCGGCTGTGTTCTGTGAGAACTGTGTGGTGGAATGGAAAGCATTGTGATGTGGTTTTCTTTGCAAAAATTAAAAGCTTGAAGGGAAATGTGACTGCTGTGATTGTCCAGAATTAACAACACGGGTGATTCATGGGTAGGCTTAGCAAATGTTGCGAAATGTTTGAACCAAGTGACAAATAAATCTTCGTTTATCCAGCCATTTTTAGAGTTGGTGTATAATGCACCAGCTGGTCCATCTTTTTCTAATAAAGGCGTCATTCTCTGTCTGGCAAAAATAAACATAGGCGGTATAAAGTTTCCGGCTGCACTCATCGCACACATAACTGTTATGTTGCTTCCTCGTTCGCCGCTTGTAACAGATCCGACTCTTCTTTGTCCTTTTTCGGGTCAACTTTTCCTGGGTCTGTCACCGTGGTGATACCAGTTTCGTCAGCATTGTAAATGTTGTTTGGAATAAACTTACGTTTTTCCATTAAGTCCCCAAGCTTATCATAGAAATGTGTTACTTCTTCTTTGTTGAAGGCAGAAATTCTATTTAAGCTTGTCGCTTCAGCTTTGCATATAGAAACTGAAGGATTGCGTCTCATAAAGGCGTGTACCCAATCCAATCCAGCTGTTTTGCTGCTTTGATCAAAATTGTTTTTAATATTGTTGAGCTCAGCATATTTATAAACAAGTTTACGCAAATCTGCGACATTGAGTCCATAGTATAGCGAACCCAGCATCTTAACTTGTTCAGCAATTTCAGATTCTTGCTGTTGAGTGAAAACAGGCTTGCGTCCTAGTCTTGGGTTGCTCATGTTTTCATTTTTTAGTCGATCTCTCAAAGTAGTAAATGGTATGTTATATTGTTTTGCGGCTTTTCTTTTGGACAAACCTCCTTCAATCGCAGTTTTAGCAGATTGAAGGTTTTCTTCTGTCCAAGCCGCTTTAGCGGTGGTCCTTTGACGATTTCTTGGCATATCTAAAACAATAAAAAAATAGGTCACTAAGGGGTAATGGCGCTCAGATGAGCGGTATAACCCCAAACGGTCGTTTTGTAATTAATTTGAAATTTAAAAAAATTCTACACAATTGTTGAAAATTGATTGCATTATCACAAAATAGAATAGTTTTATTGTCAGAAAAGTAAAATTAATAATTAAATAAGCATTAAAGTTTTGGACTTACCGACAAAAAATACCTAACCAAAAATTAGATCAGCGCGGCCGTAAACGAAGAAACGCACTTCACGGTCGTATGACGCGAGCTGATTATCCGTTTGTATCGCTGTCTGTTAGAGGCCCCCTCCCCCCCGCGCTTCACGCGACGTGGCGTGTTGCTACGTTTCATTTTGACAGAGATATAGAGGTGAGCGCCATTACACAGTGAGCGCTATTCCCCCTCCCTACCCTATCTATAGAAACGATTTGAACGTCGATTTTTGTGTAACAATGAATTTTCCCCAACATGGGGCAAGTGTGACTGTTTTTAACCGATATAGTAGTGTGCCTTTAAATAGATTTACTACACTAGCTCTGGATGTTTTGTAAGTATAATAAAAGCAATGCCAAGTGCAAAATAAAATTTAATTCAGAACGTTAACAATTTATAATAATCATAATAAACGTGACACTGTCACACTTACCCCGATGTTAGGTATTAGGTTGAAGTAAGTGTAACTGTATCCGTATTTCAAAGAATAGTGAATTTCAGGTCACAGAAACATATTACCTACTCTATAAGTACCAATATTATTCTTTATAACTCATCTTGTATCTGGTTTAAAATAACTTAACGACGTATCGAACACTTAATAACTTCACCTCTTAAAATTACGCTGTCTGTCGCCATTTGAGTAGTTTTAAAAAATAACGTCTGTTGATAAAATAGTTCAAGCTATGTACTTAACTGTTAGTTTAGTCAATAACGTAAAATTTCCTGTGTTGTTTAATAGATGGAATTAAACCAAAAACCGTGTTTAGGCCGCATAATTTGTATTTGTTACACTTGCCCCACTGACACTCTTGCCTCGGGTGACCCTACCTATCCTAATTGTTTAAATTCCGCAAAGTTCTCACTATGGGTTATTCTGTTTATCCACCCCTAAGGTGGATACTCGGAACCACGTGTTCACCTACCCACACCAGAATTCGTATATTATTTTCTTCCGATTTTCTCTCTACGTGTGTGCAGTAATTTATAGAAACACTAGCTTGCCAGGCAGACGTTGTTCTGTCCTTTTTCGACGACCTTTTTCCATGTCCTATTAAAAATCAATTGTGGGTCACTCATGGGCAAAAAAAACTCTCAAGTTGCCTATCTCTCAAGTTGGACCAAACTGCACAAAGTGTGCAAATTTGATTAAAATCGGTTAAGTAGTTTAGGAGTCCATCGCGGACAAACAACGTGACACGTAATTTATATCTATTAAGAAGATAAAAACTGGCACAAGTTATTTAGTAGACGTTATGTACCTATAAAAATTATACAAAGTTTTTGTTTAAAATTTGAAATGTAACGTTTAAATAAAAGGAGTATAGGTACCTTACACTCACAGGATACAGTATACGGTGAACGAACGTTTATCAACATCGTACGCGCCGTACGTGCCGTATTTACCGATGGACCTGCTTATTAGCACCGTACTCGAATCTAGAATTTCCAACAACTTTGCAGTTTTTTCTAACAACTGGTGTAAAACAGTGACATCCTCCTTATTCGTACGGCCTACGACTCGCCACGCGGATCTCGGCAAATTATAGCGGTGGCGATACGTATGACATTAGAAAATTATAGTGC